TCCAGAATGCGCCAATCCGAATGCTACTGCAAGTGCCACAAGTGTGGTTACACTACTGCACTGGCAGCTGACTGTGTGGACACACAACAGTGGTTCACTGCTATACTCTGTAAGCAGCGCTGCCACAGACAGCACTTTACATCTGCCTGTATAGACAGAGCCTTAGAGGAAGGAGCAGCTCAGACTATTTAGTTTAACAAAAAATAGCTTATAGGGTGCTAGGAATACAGCCTATAAATACTTACGTTAGGAACAAATATTTGATGATGGACTTTTCAGTCTAGTAGATGAAGGTACAACACAATGCAATGGCTAGAAGCTGAGAATTCACTAATTCAGACTGGAAAAGAAGAGCAAACTCTCAGATTATATGATCACAGTGGTTCCTTCTCGGCTTGGAATGTATATGTGAATGAAATACTTGAAATGTGTCAATGAAGTTGTTTGCTCTATAATTTGTATTTATTTAGGTTGACTGTGGTGATAACTGTTTTGCTCTAATGTTTGGAGTTAGAGTGTATGATCATGTGGTAGATTTTACAGGAAGGCTCCATGTTGACGCTGTGTTAAGATAACCTATTTTCCCTCTCTGTTTTTTAAGGGCCGCAAGAGTGAGGCAGAAAAGTACTTTTTGAAGGCCATTCAGCTGGATCCCACCAAAGGCAATGGTTACATGCATTATGGTGAGTTTCTGATAGATAGATGTCCTTGCATTCTCCAGGTTTGTTGTTAATCTCTCTGAGTGATTAAAGATTTAAAAACTGCTACTGACAAAATGCCTCCTTTCAAGCAAAAGAAACTAACCTACCATATAGAACTTAATCTCCATTTTAATTAGTTAATCACCAGTAAAGAGAGAGGTGAGTATTTTCTGGTTTTTGCACAGATTTCCATCTGGGAGGGAAATTTCAAAATTGCTTTCTCTCTCTGTTGGGAAAGGAGGAAGGTGAATACTACCATATGTAAAAAATAGCTTCTTAAATGTTTGTTATTGATGATAACATTGGCCTACCTCTGCTTGCTGTCAGTGGGTGGGCAAATAAATGTTGTCATATAGTGTGGACTAGGGCAGAATAGCTAAGATACTGTTTCCTAGTAAGTAGTTATGGGCTATACATCTGTCTTTCCCCTAGCTTCCTTGTGGCTTGAAACAGACAAGTATTTTAAAAGGCCTTGACAGGTTTGGCTCCATCTTTTTAAGACTAAGCCAATCATGTGTTTAAGTGATGCAGAGTACACAGTTAATTTGAGGGTGATGGTATCATTATATCTTTACATAGATTGTTTTTGCTAGATTTACAAAAAAATATTTCCAGATGTGATTGGTCTCAAGGAACCAAAAATATTTAACTTTATGAGCTGCCTCTTATTCTAGTTTAAAACTGATAATAGAAAAGTCAGAAAATATGACTTAAGTAATCCCCACTGGAAAATATAGGGAGGGGGAATAAATTTAATCTTAGTTGAGGAGCATGATGGGGAACCACAGCTATACAGTACATATATTTTTGTATATTGTTTTAATTTCCTCTTTTGGCTCCAGTGGGTTTAAGTATAACAACCACAGGGATGGTGCACAAAAATGGTAACAAAAATAGAAGGTATAGTTAACTAGCCATAACTTTATTTGTTTGTGTACTTCACTGTGTGGTTTCTAAATCTCAGTTGGTGACATTTTTTTATTTGATTGGTTCAAATGTAGTGTGTAATTTTGTACTTTGCATTACATGTTATATTCCTGCGCATCGTTGGAATGCATTCCAATAGTCTGCAAAAATGAGGCAGCTATTGCATTGCATAATGTAGCAGTTAATAAGGTGGCCCACACTTTTCAGAGTGTCCTTAACCTATCTCCCAAATATATTTGTGTCCATTCAGATGAATTTTTGTATACCTATCTGGTTTGTGCTTATAAATTCACATGTAGTGATCGTAGAAATCTGTGGATGCAATGTAAAGGACAGCTGTCAAAAATCTGGCCCTGCAATCAACTTGATTCCATGTTTGATGCATTCCTTCTGTCTTAAATTTCATAATGTAAGGTGATCCATTGATAAGGTCTTTTGTTTTCACAGCAACATAAAAAAAGAAAGCATAATTTCTTAAGCCTTCTATAAGACAAATTATGTCCTCATATCTGCAAGTGTGAGGGCATCTGTAGTAGTGAGAATGTACTTTTACTGTGAGAATTGGGGGAAGGCCAGAATTTGGAGAACACTAGGAATATTGGTTTGAGTGGGACTGTTTTCATGCAGAGGATCTGTGGAGACAGCTGCAAAACTTGAGGATGCATTGCTACAAAACATGGGATCTTCATAATGAGCTTTATTGATTATTAATTGGGTTTTTTTCTCTTGGAAATATCAGAAAAATCATGAGTAACTCATTGTCTCCAATAGTATTAATCCATATTTACATAAAATTCAACATTATTTCAGTAAAGGCACTGAGCTCGTTGTCAAAAATGGAAAGGATTCTCTGGGATATTCTTTTCTTTGGAATTAGCAAAGTCTTGGTCAAGAATCTGGAAGTATATGTCCAGGCAGAATGCAATTATTAATCCTGAACCGTGTGTGTGTTGTCTCCACACCTCATGAATTTGGTTTAGCAACTTGTCATGCATATACTTCATATCCCATAAGTCAAATGCTAAATCATAGAGAAATATATCTATATGTTTCATGTAAACCTTGAAGATTAATTTCTCAACATGAAGACAGTCTGGAAAAAAGAATAAAAGAGTTGGCACCGTCCCTAGAAAATGCACACCTCACTGAGGAGCCAAATTGGAACTGTGGTCACTGGGGACTCAACAGCCCATTTGTTAATGGAGCAGAACTGCATGTTCAGACTGCAGATGCTCTTTGATGCAGATATTATATTACTTGTGCTTCCATGATGGGTTCATCTATATCTTCCTCTTGGAGTTCTGTATCTGTGCTCTCTCTTTTTTGGAGGTATCAGGATGATTCATTCATGTGTTCTATCTTGTTGGAGGTTTACCCTTTAATTTTCTGTAACTTCTAATTATGGTCCTGAACAGTTAGTCATGCAGAATGTGAGTCAATGAAAATGGCACATCAGATATTCAGGGATGAGTGATGAGTTACCAGAAATTCCTAGGTAATGCCACCATGGTACATTTGGTTGGAAAATTCACTGGTATTTTGACTGTGCATTTCTAAATCACTGTCTTGTTACTATGTATCGTGCCCATCAAAGCTCATGATAACATCTATATGTTTTGTTAGTCTTTAAGATGCTGCTAGACTATTCATTGTTTTTTTTAAGTTTTTTAATGCTTTGAACAGCTTTTCCTAAACTGAAGGAAAAGAGTAAAGCAGTGGGGTCAATTACAAGGACTGCTGATCCCTGTCTCCTCCCTCTATGTATTCTGCAAATGTGTTCCCATGTCATTAGCTACAGCAGGCGTTGGTTCGCTGAAAACCATCCACCTTCCCTCACATCATAGTGCTTCTGTTATAGCTGGCTATATGAGCAGCTCGCCTGCACAGTACCAAGCTGAAAAACGGGGCACCTCCCCAGACCACTTCTCTTTTGGGTGAAACCAGTAGATGTCTATTAGGTGGAACCGAAGTAGTTTCTGATGAGGTAAGCAGATTAGAGCTATCAGGAAGGCTAGAGGGGAGAATCACTCAAGAGTCAGCAAGAACTTGTGTAAGAGGAAAGAAGACGAATGCATATTGACAAGAAGGATGTACTAGAGGGGAGAATCACTCAAGAGTCAGCAAAAACTTGTGTATGAGGAAAGAAGACGAATGCATGTTGACAAGAAGGATGTACTGACAAAAAAGAAAAGAGGAAAAAGAGAGATTGACAGTACTGAGTGAGGAGATGGTGTTGAGGGGGTGCATCCACCAATTCATTCCAAGTGAAAGCTCCAGTACATTTTTGGAGGATCATTGGCTTAGCTGTTGACTCTTGTCATAAAGCTTAGGTTTCATTGAGTTGGTTTCATTCTACTATGTTATGTATTTGTGATAAAAATAGAATAAAATTGGTCCTATTCACAAATATCTGTACTTTTATTATAGGGGGAGACTGTCAAGGGAACAAAGAGTGTTTATACCCAGTGAAAATCACTTGGCTGCCTAACTCCCATTTGCATATTTAAAAATCTCCCCATGATGTCTGACCAATCAGTTAGATGGAAAGGAAGGAGTAAGTTCTGTTAGCTGGCTTTGGAGGTGCCCTTTAATTTCTAAACTGTTGAAAGTTCCATTAAAACCTATGAGAATGCTCAAATACCAAAAGACTGGGAAAGTTACAAACACTAAGCCAGATGATGGCCCTCACTCCAACCCCTGTATACCACTGACACAGTCTATAGGGGCCATAAACTAGCCACGCTTAGATGAGGGGAAACCACCACTGAAGGTAAGGCAGCCCTTCATAAGTTCCCAGCCCATGGCTGTTTGTAGGCCAGAGGCATGAGGGGCTGGCGTGGTCATAGTGCACACCACTGTGGGATTCTAAGATACAGAGCAGTCTCCAGGAGTACAATGTCTTACCCAAGGAGTTGTTTCAGCCCTGCAATAGCTCAGAATCTCAACAAGGCCAAAGGACATAAAGCTGTATTTCTGTCTTCCTGACTCTGACCTACATGATCTGTGCTGCATCTCTCAGGAAGCGTGGCCACCGGGTCCACTGGGTTGAGGAAATGAAGAGTTGTTGCTGCCTTCAGGATGTCAGAATGATTAGCTTTAAGGATAAACTGTTATGGGAACAGCCGGAAACACTGAATTTTGAAACTCTTCAGCATTTGTGGTCATTAACCTAGCAGCTTGTTTGGAAATAATCTGCTTCATTCAAGGGATCACTTCTAAAGGGATGTTGGGATGAGTTGTTATTACAGTGGTTAGGAATTCTCTTGTTTTATGTTGTAGGATTTTATTAGGCTCAAGAGCATCAAAAAGGACTTGACTGCTTATGCTTAAAGAGGCACACATTTCTTTGTGCCCTTAATGTATCTCCACTCTACTTCAACACTGATTCATATTCACAGCTTCCAAAAAGATTCCAAACAAGATATAAATTGGAATACACCTTGATTTATCCTGTTAAGTTTCAATTTAGGCAGGATACATACTACAGTCTGAAGTTCTTCTTAAATCCTAGTTACTGGACACTGTTCAGGGGCAGGGAAGTTAGAAACATAATGAGATCATTATCTTGTCACTTACATAGTTCTCTCTAGAATTACTGTTTTATGTTTAGGAACTCAGAAATGCAATCTTCCTTGCACTATATTTACAGTAAAAGCTCTGTTATCTGGTATGCTGGAAGGTATGGCGGGTGGCAGTTAATTGAATATTCTGGGTAACTGAGATTTGTTCTTTACCAATGGAATACCAGTTTTCAAAGAATTAAAATGATATAAAATGAATAAAGTATAAAATAGTATACAAGTACTCACCAATCCAATAACAGTACTGTACTGCAGAGTGGTTGATTTTGAAGCACTTAGGTGTGTTTACAGGTAGTTTTCGATATACTAGGCTATCTTATGACACTACATATCACTATGAGCAGTGCATGGCATATACCTAGATCACTAAAAATGCACTAAGAATAAAACTAGACTCAACATAATGTAATTTTTCTTTGATGAATTAGAAGGCACTTCAGGATCCTGCCTTTCCTCAGGGTCCCCATTATCAAC